GTTCGGCCACCTCTGCAGCACTTTGCTCATCCAAAGCGAGCTGTCACTTCCCATCGTCCTCGCCAGCCAAATCCTTCCTGACATCCCGTTTAAAACTCAAAGTACCCGATTACCACTGAGGCCAGGCAGACAGGAGAAACTCTTTCATAAACACAGCCCCCAAAACAAAATCCCTGCCCGGAGCACTGATCCTCACCCTTCCCAAACCCACCCACATGCCAGGGGTACCTGGCTCCTTCTTTAGGTGGTCCAGGTGTGGTTCTGCTCTCACGGGCACGGCCCCAGCCACAGGGACACCACGTTTCCAGCACCTGCTTCTCACCAGCCCAGCAGCAGAAGAGGCACTTGCCCCAGCTCCATCCACCTGCCAGGGCTGACCCCAGACCCCTCCCGTCCCCGAGTCCATTAGCAAATCCCTGGAGCACACACCTTGCTCGTGTTTTGCTTAACCCCAGCTTTTAGGGAGAGCTGCAGAGCTACGTTGCCTTTCAATTTTTAATTTCCTCTAAACATTTTGGTCCTCTCCCCAGGGATGCTGAGTTGATCACCTCTGCTGGCAGCACAGCTGCCCCACAGCTGTGGGGAAGGGGGAAACCAGGGGCAAAGGAAGGGAAAACAGCTCCACATCAAGCTCCTTTGTAGGAGCAGGACCCCTTTACATGCACACCCTGCCATGAGGGGCATCCACACCGGGCTCCCCAGTGCCCCAATGGAGATGCTCCACCAGGAGGAGGAGGAGAGGGATGACTCCAGATCCCTCCAGCAGGGACAGAACATCTGCAGGGGAAGCGTTGTTGCAGAGCAGAGCACCCTCCTCCTTCTGTCAGACACCTCTGTGGGTCTGGGTTCCCCCAAAATCAACAAGAAGGTTTATCCCAGTGCCTGGCACAGCCATCCCTCTTTCCCCATCACCTGGCATCGGCCCAAGAGCAAGGACACGAATACAGCATCACTTTTCAATCCCTGAGGTATCTTTCATTTTTTCCACTGCCTTAGGCAACAAATGTACAAACAGGGACCTGCTGGGCATGAGGAATGTGAGCTGAACTGCTCTGGGAAGGGAGATGCCATCACAGAGCTGGGAAGAGCAGCTCAGATCACCCTGGAGCAGGGGAGCAGCTCCAGGTGGGTTTTCTGTCCCTCAGATGCCTTGGGGGGTCCAAGCTCAGAGTTAAGGTTCAGTTCTTCACCTTTTATCTTGATTGAAAGTGCATGAAAAACTAACCAAGCACTGGCAGACAACATGTGAATGGCAAAACCTCCAAGGAAAAGGAAATCCTGATCAGTTCAGCATGAGGAAAGGTAAATGGAATAGCAGCAAGGCTGTGCAGCCCACCTTCAACAGGTACCCAGGGTGCAAAAAGAGTGATGTGCCTGGAATATGCTCCCTCCATACCCAAACTGGAAGGTCTGGGAGTCCCCAAATCACAGGGATACTGTTTAACACTTCCTGGCTCTCTCCCACAAATTTGCTGCTGCCTTTCTGCACACATGTAAGCTGCCACTATCCACACAGCACCTTCCAGACCCCATAGCATCTCCCCATTCCCGATTTTCTGAAAGAGCAGTGGGACCCATCCCCAAAGCTCCCAGTTACATGCCCAGGCAGCCTGGGGGCTGCACCGCAGGCAGGGAGCAGGGCAGAGGCAGCTCCTGCTGGGCACGGGGACTGCCCACTGAGCAGGATGTTCTTCAGCTCCTCACCTCCCTCGCTCTCCCAGGCCCCCAAAGAAGAGCAGCTTGAGGCTGCAGGGAGCCGAGCTGCTGAGCACTGGCCTCGGCTGCCACCTAGCAGTGACCCAGCAGCAGCAGGGACACGCTGACAGCTCCTCCACATTCCGGCCCCTGCTGCAGCCCAGGGAGCGGTAAAAGAGGATCTGGGGGTCTTCTCAGGACACCCCAGCCTGGCTATTCCTAACCAGGGCACCCAGCTGTCACCTCCCTGAAACCAAAAGGGGGTTCTGCAGCAGAGGGTGAGCTCTGAGCAAGCTCAGCTCCTTAACAGCGATGGATGGACAAAAATGTGTAGTGAGTGCCCCAACATAAACATGGCACCAGAGATGTGAGGAATCCTCTGAACCTCCCCACAGGGTTGGAAAGCCCCCTCTCCTCAGCATTCTCCTTCCATCTCCTTCATTAGCTTCCCCAGCAGCTGATTTCTTAACCAGCCACAGATTTTTAGTTTTTAGCTGCTTCACATCCCAAACCATCCTTAAACACTGAAATAATAATAATAAAAAAAAAAGTAAAAGAATAATACAATGGTTTGGGTTGGAAGAGAGCTTTAAAGATCAACTAGTCAAATCCACAAATGTCTTATGCTGGGCTTTTACCCATCCCAGTATTACTGCTAGTATAATTCAGCTTTTTTAGGTGTTTTGCAGAGGAAGAGATCTCTGGCATGCTTGCATGTGGGCACAGAACGGCCCTTGAAGCCCCTGAAGATGTGAGGAACACTCCAGGTACCAGAAAAGCAGCTGGGTGTCAGCATTCCTAACCAGGGCACTTCTGTTTTCACAGCTTTTCTCTGCAGTAACACCCATCAGGATCACCTGCCACAGGCAAGGAGCGACACAAACACGGTCAAGCTTCAGGCTCTCTCTCACCAGATTCCTTACAAATTTTATTCCGTATCTTTAAGATGAGATTCCTGACACTTTGTACACACGACGCTGGACAAACCACAGCATCTTCTTCTTGAGGAAGGAGGTTTCTTCGGCTCTTCTCAGAGCAAGGAGTGTGAAGAGCAGCCACTGTGTTGAAAACCGAAACCACATCCCCACAAAATGTCAAAACAGCTCATGCACTGAAGCAGGGAGGGATGGGCAGCCAGTTTCCCTCTCCTAAACTTAAAGGATACGTAACACAATATGACACTTGGATGTTCTCCTGAACCATTATATTAAAGAGCAGTAACTCAGTACACCACTGGTACAACAAAACCAAACTACTTTCCTGAAAGTAAAACTAACATTTATCACACATGCTGGGCACACCTGAGACATCACACTCCAGGTTTTCCCAAGGGATTAAATGTTTCTGAACAAAAAGAAAAAAACAAAACATACAGAGATCATAAAAAAAGTCAGACAAAGAGCCTGTGCTGCTCCAGACAGCCTTCCCTGGCAGCAGCTCCAGCATCTCCCCTCTTATCACACCTTCCTTCTCAGGCTGGGCTGCCACTGGAAATAAGCATGAGAAGTGGCCAATCATGCAGCTGCCAACACTGCAGAGGGCAGGGCAGGAGGGTGGTCACAGAGCCCAGAGCACTGCAGAGGCCAACCATGAGACTCCTGGGAAGGTCTTGGTCTTCATGTTTTCTTCATCTGCATAAAGAGGAGCACAGAAAAGACAGATCAAATCTACACAGGCAAATCCAAGAGCTTCAGTTTAGACTGAAATCCCTTTTGCCTGGACCTCACCGGGTCATGTAAAGAAAACTGGCTACTGCACACCTATTTGATGAGTCTGACATGGTATAATGCAAGGACCCCTCTCCTCCTGCTGCTGCATCTCCACTTCCCCAGAGCTGGGAAATCGGATGTGAATTCAGTAGTTTTTGTCTAGGGAACTCTAGAGAGAAAGTTCCAAGGCATAAACAGCCATTGCCTTTGGCAAGTCACTTCATCCACCTTGTAAATCAAGCAACTCTTGTATGGGTGTTGTAAATTCTTCCATCATTTGGAAGATGGAAGGCAAACACCCACACAGGGAACTCATAGGGTTTACAAAATGCTTTAGTTCCTTATAGCTGAAAGACTAGGAAACTCAGTATGAAATGAACACTGGAGTGGAGAAACAAATACTTCTGCAGTCTAGAAAAGAGAACAAAACCCAACAATGAGAGAACTCTCAATTCATTTGTTCCCATTAAACAATTAGAAATCCATTTTGCTACACAAAGGTCACCATGATACATTGCATCCAGCTCTTTATTACTGTGTCATCTCCAGCCCACAGAAACACCAACACTTCCATCTGTTCCAGCAGCACCAGCCTTAGGATACCCAAGAGGGGCAGCAAAACTCACAGCACGGTGCTTAACTTTCTGTCAGTCAATTTGGACTGATGAATCTGTTCATACTGTCAAGGGGACCCAGCATGAATGGTGCTGCCCTGAGTCCAACAGTGGGATGTACAGCTTCATAAAGTTGGGCCCTGCTGGAAAAAATTTCTATCTGAACTGGGTCATCTTGCCTCATTTCTGCTGGTTGCCTGGAGTAAATAAAGGAGGAGTCAAGTCAGTGGAAGACCTTTACAAAGACAGCAGGCATTGAAGACTCTCCAAGAGAATGAGGTGCCTACAAATGTATGTAAAAAAATCAAGAGGGTGCAATTAGTGCACACTCAGCTCATTAGCTGCTTAATTATCTCAAAATTTACAAAGAAGTGGAAGGTCAGCACATGGATAATTAAAAACCAGAACAAGACTATACAACAATAATACCCCAGTCCCCTTGTCCAAAGGGCAGCTTTTCCTCCACAGCAAGCTGGAAAGAGCCATAGATTATTACAAGACTCAAGGCATCCTCTTCTCAGCAGAGAATTAACAGCTGTCTCATCTCTCAGCAGCCCCACGCAGAGCCAGTGATGGCAATGACAGAGGGAGTTTCTGCAAGGAGGCAGGAGCTGAGTCAGAGGAAGCCCCCCTACATTTTTGCTTAAGAATTCAAATTAAATTTACATTTCAGGGATGTTCTCTCACGTCTCAGCCACAGGTAAGAGCTGATGTTTGTATCTTTTAACTCAGTATGGAGAAGAAAACTAGTGAAATGACAGACAAGCAGCAATTCAACCACAGCTGTTCAAAAACTGGGTACTTGCTTTCTAGGCTGCCCTGTTGTCAGGGCACGAGGGGACTGTGAGGCACTCCTGCAGTAGCAAGGATGGCTGGGCAGCAGGAATTCAGAGCTGACAGGATGCCAAGACAGGCATCACTAGAGCCCAATTAGCCAACTACTCAGCTGGATACCAGCAGCCCACTGAAAACTTTTGCTTAACATGCAGGAAAAAATATGAGTGCTAGGACAAGGTTACAAGATGATTTTTGTCTCTTCTTGCCACCCACGCCATTCTTACTGAGGGACAGGATGCATTTACATTCCTCTAGTCTTCACATCACCACCTATGTCTGACATTTATGAATCTTGCTTTAGTCAGCTAGGTAAGGAATTCTCCAGATTCCTGCATTTGAAACACAAACTCAGATTTGCAGTCCTCCCCATATTACCTTCTTCCAAATACAATAAGATGATGGTTTGTGTCTTTCAGGTCGTTTGATAAATTGACAGAGCAAAGACATTAATATCCAAGACACACAGCTTACACAGAGTTTCTCTAGCACAGAAACCTAGGCTGGTTAGAGAAAATGACTGCTTTACAAGTTGCTAGCATTTACACTTGCTTTTACTCTTCTTTCAGAGCAGTGTCAAGAGCAGCCCCAGAGCAGGCCCACTGCTGAACACTTCAACAGCTGACACTGGCTTGAAAGGTGCTTTGGTCCCTGTAGTAAAAAAAAATGTCTCATGAAAATACTACAATTTAAATAACACAGAAAAGGGGAGAGAATCACCTGCAGACAGGTGCTCCTGGTGTTTCTAATGGTACTGCCCTAGACTGCACTCAGCTCCTGGGGTTTACTCCCTGCTTAACCTCTCTCTTCAGCAACTGCTCAATAGCCAAGGGCTTCTCTTTGAACATGCTCTAAAACCCAAGGTGTACAGCACACACTTATGCTTTACACTCACCCTTAGAGTCATTTTTTTCACAAACCTGTAGCTGTACAGAACCTTATCCCCAGCAACAACCAGCACTGCAAATCACTTCCTTTCAGGTCGGTTTAGGATGAGCAAGACCCTTTATGGCAAATATTCACCACTAGTACTTGTGGTCTATTCCTGCATTTACAGACTACCACCCTGAATTATTACACATCCTTTGCCAAACCTCAGAGATCTAAGAGGAAAACACACACTTCCTGGCTCCCAGGGGTGCAAAGCCATAGAAGTGCCAAGTCAAACTGATCACAAGAACCTGGCACTGCTCTGAGTTCTCAGAGTCCACTCTCATACTGAAAAAATTATGGTGCACATATGGGAGGTTAGAGAGAGCACACAGACTCCCTCAAGTCTGCAAAGGGATCAGAGGACAGGCAGCTAGAAAGGTATTTATGGTCCACAGAAATAATATTTTCATATTTCTGCTTGCTTTTTATGAAAGCAGAAAACCAACTCCACGGGACTAAAACAGGACACATCTGCTGAGCCCTGGAGCTGACTTCATGGAATGGCAGCTGTGCCAAACTCTCACCTGGTCACAGCTCAGCCCCATCCAGCTTTGAGGTTGCTGTTTCACTGTCTGCATCTTGAGATTCCTGCTGCAAGTGAAGGTCTGGCTCCACCATTCCAGCATTCTCCTGCTTTCCACTGGGCTGAACATACAAGGCTGAAGGATTCAGTTTCTCAAATTCCTAGAACAAATAAAAACCATGACAGAACAGGAAAAAACCCTATGTTGTAATTACCACAAAGAATAAAAAGGATTCAGCAAATCTCTAACAGGTCAGCAAATGGATGAAGGTGCACAACACCCAAGAGTTAGCTCCAAATTCTTGCAAAAATGGCCTTATTAAGAAAACCAACTCCTCTTTTGCCAGCAGCAAGATTTCTCAGCAATGCCTCTCTCCCCCAAAATTTGGCCTACACATGCAAAAATACCATCACTAATCCAGCCAGAACATGCATGCTGCATCTGCTGAATAAAACAACAGACAGAAGCACTCCAGGCTGTAAAACTCAGCTTTCTGCTGGAATATAAAATTGTGGCAGTACCTTTCCAAGGGTTTTCATATTCCACACAGCTCTTACTGGAACTGAGCTGAGACATGCAAACAATGCCACAGGTAAGCCTAAAGCACAAATGGTGTGGCTTACAACTGGTGTGACAATAGGCAATTACCATGGTTATGCCATCCAGCACTGTACATTTCACTGGCAAGGTGTGAGAGTTTGTAAACCAAAACCATTTATATATCAACTTTTAATCCATTGCTAGAAGACAGGCTGAAAACAGTTTGTTCTACTAAACAGAACATCTCTGCTGTACCATCAGATTCCACCTTAACCAAAAAGCAAGCTCTCCCCATAGAGTTAGACATTCTGGGATGCAGTCACAAAATTAAAAGCTACAGGAAAACAGGGAATACCAGTTTTGCTCTTCACAAAACCATTTCAAAGTAAGAATCTTCCCATTACAGACACCCAAACAGGGATCCTTCCTTTCCCCTTCCTTTCAGAAGCACAAGCTTCTCTCCTGACCTGGGAAGGGATGTTCTCTCCACAGACATCAGCATATCCCATATCCCTCAAGACAGAGTGGAAGTAGACATCCTCCTTGGTGGATGTATCACACAGGAAGAGGTACAGAACACCATCCACGTATTCATCCACAATGCCCACAAGTTCCTTGAAGCGACAGAGATGCTTGAACAGGAGAATTGCTGCACTGGACCACGTGCCCTGAAGAGGAAACAAAGGGAAGTTACCATAAACAGACCAATATCCACCATCTGAGACTTTTCCTTGTGATGGGCACTTGTCAAAAGCCAACTGAGCTAGGCCAGCCTAGTGACAAATACAGGAAAGTCAGGTAGACAATCTTCCCAGCATGAAGCTAAATCAAACAACCCCAAAGCCTGCAATTCTCATTACACTGGCAATGCCTTTTCACACTAAATACCTACTTCCAAACATAGTTCCATGGCATTCACAAGTAATTTTATCCCAATTGCCTAAAATACAGTTGTTTGTTGGTTTTGTTTGTTGGGTTTTCTTTTTTAATGCCTGAAATCATAAGACTTTACAGACATGAAAAGTATCAAAAGTTATTAAGATGCTGCTAAGCCTCACCACTGTGATCAACCCTCAAAGCCCAGGGGAAATAACTTTTTAAAAGCAACATCTTTAAAAACACACAGGCAGCAACTCTGCTCACATGCTTTCCTTCGGAGATTGTACTTCTCAGGCTTCTTGACCAAGAGGTTTCCTATCATAGAAACTTTCTTATGGCCTCTATAACTCTGGCTGTGCTAACTGCACCAAGCCACCTCACTTAAAGCACAGAATACATTTTTGAAACAGAGGGTCGGAGCTACCAAGGCTTCAGAAGGACATTGGGGAACTACTGGCACGGAGAGGAACAAGTTTGCTCTGTTGCTTAACAGTAGCCATCTGTTTCTGAAAGAATGTAAGCAAGAATGCTCTGATGGCAAGGAAAGCAGTGAAAGGGTGATTGCTTGTAGAGCAGATACTCACCCAGCACACTGCTGAACAGTAATTATGCTGTAAATATCAACAGGGCCTGACTTCATCCAAATGTCTGCCCTTGGCAGGAGAAAAACACAGCCTCTACTTGATAACTCCTCTACATATGTTAATAAACAAAACTGCACGTGGACACGTACCTCCACAGGTTTTACCCATGCCAAGGAACATGGGATGGCCTGAGCAGGGAGATTCAAGTAGTGCCACCTAAAATACAAAGCAAAACCATTACAGCAAAAACAGGGATAAATCAGCAGAAGAGCAGAACTTCTTCCTCTTCTGGGTTTTACTACCTGTTTAGAAATTCAGAAGCATACATTGGATTGTGCACTCATGACTAAAACCCAACAGCAGCTTCAGAAAACACTCCATAGCCAGAGAATGGGCACAGCAAAAACAGCAATAACAACTGGTCCCTTATGTATTCCCTGGTCCAAGCACCTTCCCATCAAAACCCCTTGTGGAGACAAAGTTACAGACAGAGAACCATGACTTTTGAACCAAAGAATGCCAACAGACAGGCACAAGGAGAGGCAAACAAGGGGGAAGACACAAATATGGAAAATGTGTTGAACTGCAGAGAAAAAGTACCTCTGACATTGCAAACAAGTCCTACTTGGGGAATGGGCCTTCAGGAGAATGTGTATACCCATTCATGCAATCCAGGAAGGAGCATTAGGGATCTTGCCCCCAGGTGACAGCAGCAAGAGGACAGACTGAAGAGTGAAGGCAGACACAGGAAAGGATTTAGCAGTGTACCCCAGGGGCCAGTGCTGGGTCCAGTATTGCTCAATGTCTTTATTCTCGACCTGGGTGATGGGGGAGAGTCTACCCTCAGTCTGCTGATGGCACAAAACTGGCAGGAATGGCTGATGTCCAAGAAGGTCAGGTTACCATCCAAACAGATCTTGACGGGGTAGAGAAATGGGCAGATAGGAACCTCACAAAGTTCAGCGAAGTACCACACTTGGAAAGAATAACACCAAGCATCAGCACAGTGTGGGCCAGCTGGAAAGTGCAATTTTTACCAGGAGAGTGACCAAGCACTGGAATGGGTTGCCCAAAGAGGTAATGGAGTTTTCACCCTTGGAAACATTCAAAAACCATCTCAGCATGGTCCTAGGCAGCCTGTTCTGGACAGCCCTGCTTCAGCAGGGAGCTTGCACAGGATGACCTCCAGAAGCCTAATCCAACCTCAGCTGTTCTGCAATTCTGCCACCCCATGTGTAATTCACTTACTTGAGGAATCTCAGCCAGGACTTTTGGACAATTTGGAGGTGTCCATAGTCTGCATAGAACACCTCTACCTCCTGGTCATTGATCACACGGTGGATGATCACACGGTACCACCACTTGGAGACCATGACACAGCAGAGCTGCCCAGGCCGCACTGCAGACTCGGGCATGATGTATTTATCAGAAGCAACTTTATGTGAGTAAACGTGTCTGTAAAAGATCACAGTGAGAAATCAGGCTTAGAAGGATTCAGGAGATGGACAAGGAGAAATATATGGGGCATCAAAAGACTTTGCAAAGTCCCGCATGACATGAATTTTCGAGAGTTGTTTTAATAGACCCTTTATAGCTCTGTCCTGCCACACTTGGGAATCAAATTGCAACCCCAAACTTTTAGCATCTGAATGATACTCTTGGGTTCTGACAAAAAGTTAATTAATGGGGATTAATCTGAGGCTAAACACAGTCATCCTAATAATTACTTTTTTACCATTACCTTGACCCATCAGCATTTCTCATGAACCAGGCTCTGGAGTACTGGCCCAGGTGCAGTGTTGGAGGTGGAAGTAAAAGCTTTAACTGAGCACATTAGCAACAGCTGCACAGACAAGACAAAGGAACCCTTCAAGCTCCTTTCCATAACCCTTCCAGGCTTATAAAATTCAGAACTGCTAGGACACAGACAAACCACAGGAACTGCTGGTGACCACACTTAACGCTTGTTAGTTAAAAGGAATGGATAAACATTTTGAGTAGTGTTTCAGGACAGCACCAGAATCTCTGGTGCTGAAGCCAGCACTGACCATCACCAAGAGCTGGGTGCCCAGTTCCCTTAGCACAAACACCCACTGTGCTGCCATATCATGCTCCCACCTCATCTCAAACATCAGATCCTGCAGTTTATAGGATGCTTCCCTGCTGCAGACATGGATGTAGAACTGGCTAGGAGAGACGATGAATTCCACAATGACTCCCACCAAGCACTTTCTCTTCAGAGGTGGCAAACTGCAAAGGCTTCTGTCCTGAACAGCATCTGGAGGGATCTCTGGAGTTGGTGGAGACTGCTCAAAACCTTGATGCTACAAGGGGATAAGCAGGAGGTGGCACTCAGATGTCTCATCATGCACTGAACACACACAATTGGCCTTTCCATTAATTTAAGAAATAGTTCTGCTTTCCTGGGGACTTGTGAATGACTGAATATCAGAGGATCCCAACAAATTGGACAAACTCAGATGAAAACTTTCCCTGTGATAGAAACAATCATTTTCACACTCTCTTTCTTTCTTCCCTCCAGTGTTAAGAGGGGTGCAACAAAAATACCTTGCTCATATTCCTGCAAGGATTAAAGGAGAGGAATTGAAGTCAGGTGATATATTTAGACAAAAGTAGTGAAGGACTATTGCCAAAAAAGCAAAACAAAATCAAACCCCAAACCCAACCCACCTCTTTGCTGGATTTTACTGAAAATATGTTATTTCTAATGACTCATGACCATGAAAAAGTACATGATTGAACCAGCAAAACTATCTGAAAATGATTCCAAAGTGACAGAAGACATGAATGCATCCCACTTTCACACTAGAGCTACTTCCCACAGACAAAACCAGTCAAGATCTACAAATTCTGTTCTTTTCTCACTTTAGACAAATTTGTACAAGTGAGCTGTTCACACAGCTTTCAATTTTTCATTATTCTAACTGCTGAAAACATTATTTCACTTGAAGTAGTATGGATGGGAGCCTTAATCAAACGTCAGCTACTTTCACTGCCTCAAGAGCTTTCTTTTGTGCCAGCAGACAGCACTTCTTCAATGATTAGAAGTCAAAAATCCTTCCATTTTATTCATTGTGAACACAGTACAAGTTATCACTGCATCATACATCAGGCAAGGCGTGGGCAATTCACATTCCAGCACAATCCCTGTTGTTTCTATGGCTAAATTCAACTGCAAAACAATGGGTTTTGCAATAGTGGCTCTCTTAAGCACTTTGTAAAGGTGCAGATCACAGAATCATAGAATATTCTGAGTCAGAAGGCACCCACAAGGATCATCAAAGTCCAGCTCCTAGACCCTGCAAATGACCACCCCAGGAATCCCACCACATGCCTGAGAGCAAATGTTTCTTGAATTCTGGCAGGCTTGGTGCTATGACCACTTCCCTGGTCTCTCCTTCTGAAGACTGAGTAAAGCCTAATGCCCTTCCATTTTTTGGAGCTAGAAATTTTGACTAAAAAATTTGAGTTAAACAGCAAGTTAATGTTTTTGAGTCTAAGAGCAACTGAGGGAATTCTGGCCTGAGCAGCAGCTCTAAAAACCCCTTCACAAATTTCGTCTGTGTAATCCTGGTGAATGGTGGCATTTCTAAGGGATAATTTTGCTCTGAGAAAGCTCTTCAGATCAGACTCTTAAGGGCACACATGGGCTTTATATGCTAGCTCACATATTGTTAGTGACAGCAGATATTTCTTTGAAAGACTTATGTGCATTTGAAAAGAAGCTCACAAAATGCAATGAAGTTATAAAAAGATAAAGCAAGAGAAGAGAGTGTAAAACCAGGCTTTATAAGAGGTGTGGCTTGCAAGAGTGGCTGACTTCTTGCCCCAAGCTGGACTGGCAGCTGCCAAGAGCAGTGTGGGTGACACTTTTCCTGCTGTCACAACAGCAAAAGAAAGCTCTTGAGAGCAGCAGCTCTGTCTTCTTTATCCTTCTTGGAACTGAGCAGATGGACTCAGCCCTTGTGCCCCATCTGACCCTGGAAACATTTCTGGGATACCTGGCAGCAGGGCAGGGATCAGGTTGCATCTTTCCCCTCTACCTTGCAGCATTCTGATGAACAAATGTCCACTGCACACCCAAACAAACACATTCTAAACTCCTTTCATCCTCTTCAGAGCTTTTTAAAAACAAAACAGCAAACTTAGTGTTTCATGACAAACAGGAGTTGTAACAACATCTTCCAAATCTCGTCTTGCCAGGATCTTTAAATGGGTCCCCTCAGCAATACCCAGGAACAAATATCTGGGGCTACCTCGACCATATCCCCCCCTTTCATAGCCTTCACAGAATCAGACTTGTGGTTTGATCCAGGGTAACTCCCTGTGGATCTAATCACTCCAAATTAAATTTCTTCAAAGGATTAGAACAGGCTGCCAAAAATCTCTCGAGGGTATGTTTTATCAAGTGCTTCACAGAGTCCAACTCATAGTTCCGTGCTTCCAAGCTCATTAGTACACAAAACACCAAAGTCAGGAAGAACACTTGGGATTCTTCCCCTACCTCTAAGCTCCAACTGTACAGCTGGGTATAGCCACAAGACAAGCTTGGCAGAGGAAACGACCATAAGCAAGAGGATTTTCCTGAGAAAAAGAAGGCCTAAAGATACTAAAAAAAATAAAGGAGGGACAAACAAATTCTGCCAAAAAGATTTGGCAGCTTAGAATCTCTGCACCGCTATTCTCCATCCCTTTCTAAAAAACACACTGTGAAACAAAACAAAATAATTTCCTACAAAATAGCAGACTTGAGACTGCAGGAATCAAGGCCACTGAGGAACATTCCCCAGCTCTGTCAAACTGGTTGACGCTGAAGCCGAGTCAACAGCAGCAGGGGAAATTTCACACAACTTGCCTCACAACAAAGTTATTAAAGTCCAGTTACAAGTAACTATAGCAAAAGGTATCACCACTCTTGTAAGCAAGCAAGATAACACTACACTGGCCCTGAATGATCTGATAGACCTCGAGACCAGAAAAAGATTGACTTTGGATGCCACATAAAGCTATGCACCAGGTGACCATGACTCTGGTTGCCTCCAGAGACATCTAAAACAGGCACAAAAATGTTTGGAAGCAGTGGTGCCTCAACAATGCAAACTCAACAGACACAAAGACAGTAAAAAGAGTATCACCCCTTAAAATCAACATGAAAAATGTACAGATCATTTGTCCAGCCACTTACTCGTTTGAGGTGATCATCCAAATCTACTGCTTGTGTTTGCACTGGCTCCGAATCCATTGGAAGTGCTGCGTGGTAGAAGCTCTCTGTCTCGTGGATGGGTTCTAAAGGAGGCATCTTAGCTGCAGATGCTGCTGCAAAGACAATAATTTGGCTGTTATTATTGGACTGATACAGTGCTGCATATTAAGCAGAAAGCAAAACCATAAACAAATGGAAGTCTGAAAGTACTGGTGTTGTTTTCCTCAAAACTTGCAGCATTCACCACAATCATGAGGATTCACTGTGTCAGTAAGTTAAAACAAGAATCACTTGCTCTTGTAGCAAGCTAAGAGTTAAATTCCATTGCTAGAATAATGTTAAAATTAATTTTCCTTGGAAAAGCTGTGAATTTGGCAGGAACTCTATGTGATTATCCATCCTCTCCCATAGGTTTTATGGGAATGATGAGAGCATCTACATCCTGTCTCTCTTGTGGAACACTGTAGCCATGCCTGTCAGGCCAGTGTTAAATCTTCAGTCTAAAAAAGTGTATGGCAAAAGCTTTACCAGCCTGCAGAGCAGACATTCAGGAGATCCTTCTAGTTCTTTCACTTATTACCTGGAATGACTAGAAATTCCAGTCCTACATACACATTCAGCAAATCCATACTCTGAATGGGCTAATCAGCCCTTCTTTCACCTCACACCACAAAACAGTGGCAATGTGTTGAAACCTTCCCATTAAATTCTCTGCTACCAAGGCAACTGCCTTGTGACAGCTGCTTCTGCAGCACTCAACAGTTCTCCTGTGCTAAACCTCAGGGGAACCAGGACTTCTACAGCAACTGGAAATGCAGCAACAGACACTTGAAAGGCAGTTGCTTGGTCACAGAGCTTTTAAGAACTACATGCTTTCTGCTAAACACACCACCTCACCTTGCAGCATCTCTTCTTCCTGAGCTTCACCTTGAGGCACCCCTTCTTCCTGAGCTTCACCTTGAGGCACCTCTTCCTCCTCAGCCTCACTTTGAGGCACCTCTTCCTCCTCAGCCTCACTTTGAGGCACCTCTTCCTCCTCAGCCTCACCCTGAGGTACCTCCTCCTGTTCTATCCTGCTTGCCAAGTACTTCCTCAGGACCAGCAAGGAACCTGCCTTTGTCTGCTCAATGACAATGGAATCAGACATACTCCTGAGGACTTCAAACATGGACAAAAATCCGTACTGCCTGTACTGGAACGCCCGGCCAAAGCGCCTGAGGAAGGCCTTGTCCAAGTCCGCGAGCAGAAGCGGTGAGGAGCTCAGCAGGTCCTGCAGCTCAGCCTTCACTGCTGCTGGCAGGACAGGAGTCCCAGCACTCAGAGTTTGGAAACTCTGTAGATTCTTAGAGTTCTTAGTGGGAAAAGTAGCATTTGCCTTTGTAGCAGTTTTCTTTGATGTCTTCCGTGTCTTTACTTTCTGGTTGGCTACCAGCTTGGCAATCCCTTTGGTGGAGTCATCAGCAATGGCTGCAACAGAAAGAAATAAACAGACAACCAGAACAATGAACCATTAAAAACTCTACACTGGAAAAGCTCCTCTTCATTCCTTTCTTTCCTCTTCTCCACACCCTTTCCAGAAGCAGTTGTCTCCTTCAAAAGCAATCACACCAAACCATGGCTGATTTCCAGCAACCTCATCCTTTACAAACTGGACTGAACTATTTTTAAAAGCCAGCAACCAGTTTGCACCCTCATCCCTAGAAATTCAGACCAGGCAGGAAGGCAGGTCAAATTCCTGGATGCAGGATCACAAATAAAAACCAAGCTGCTGAGAGTTTTGCTGGGAAAGCAGAAATCACAGTAAACTCTCACTACAGAGCACATCCTGCTCAAGAAAGGTCTCCATGGAGAACCACCCAGGTTTCTTCAAAGCTTCTAAACAACTTTTTCTTGTATTACTTGTAGCACTCAAAAAGCCCCCAACCATTTCACCCTTCCCAATCAATTCTTTGCAACTGCCATTTGCTGTCACAACTCTTCCCCAAAGAAAAAGAAAATTAAAAAGGTTCTTTGATATAGGCTAAGCTTCCAATGGGGTCAGGTACAGAAACCTTCACAGCTTCTCTCAAGGCTACACCTGGTTTTGGCTCCTGCTGTAGTCTGCATTTATAGACCAGTTCTAGTGTACCCATAAGGAAAAGTTACATCAGTTTCTAAACCAAGTCCAGAGTGAAAAAGTGTACAAAAATAGCTAGAAGCATGGGTGACTTTTTCAGGAGGGAAGAACACAAAAGTGTTAAAAAGCAGATCAAAATACAAGAAGAAATATCAAAGACAAAAAATTAACCAGTGCCATATGAAAAGCAGATTAACAGATACGTGACATACAGCTCTGCACATCTGAAAATCCCTTCACTCCAGTATGAGGTTGCAAACAACACATCCACCCATCTGGAAACAAAGCCTCACCTTTGAGGATTAAACTGCCATTCTTAGAAGAACAGATTCGGACAACTTCAGGCATTTGTGTCACCAGCTCCAAGGTGGACTGGAAGCCCAGGTCACGCAGAGGGAGAGGTTTGCAGACCATGGCCATGTACTGCTCCTCCAGCTGCTCTGGTGTCAGGCCTGCTTTGGCAGCTATCAGCATCGCCCTCACCTCCTTCTTCAGCACCTCCATCAGCTGTGCCTGCTTCGACGCCTCTGTGCTAAAGGGGAACACAAGCAAGCAGATGACAACTTGTACCACAACTGCTCATCATCACCCAGAATGTTAACTTTTTCCCACTTAGCAGCTGAAAGCTGGCGGGGGCAGTAGGTTCACCAACAACCCCTGTATTCACTTGCCAGCAGCCCTGGAGTTTAGTGCACCCCATAACCTCAGCCAGTCCAGACACCCTGCGCATCCATACTGCTGCCCGAGGACACCCCACCCACCGCCGGGAGGTGAGTGCTCCTCGCAGAAACCCCTGCGACCCCCTCCAACGCGAGGGCTCGCCCCTCAGCCTGGCAGGTTCCCTGTTCCCCACAGACATCCCTGTTCCCCTCAGCGCCATGCCGGGTCACCCCCCATGCTCCCACACGCACGGCGCCATAGCTCCGGCCTCCCCGCGCGCCTGCGCGGCGCCTTTCCCGCCTTTTCG